CTTCATCCTCTGTAAAAGGGCAGTCTTTTTCACATACTGTGAAACATCTATACAAAGGTTAAACTATCTATGCTCAGATACTATGTCTCTATATTACACTTGTAATAGGCCATACTACAATTTGGCTTTTGTTTTATTATTTACGAGGTGATTTTAGATGTAAACTGCTGCTTTGTAAGTGTGTTTAAATTTTGCTGAGGGTGTTCTTGAGAGCTACAATAGTGGTGAAAGCTTTAATGCTTATGGGTGCTTACAGGAATAAAAAAATTACTAGATCCTTTCAAAGGTGAATAAAAAAAGATGATTTGATCCCAAATATGATGAAAAAACTCTTGTGTAATTTACTTTACAGAAAGTGTCGACTGTAGTTTGAGTGTTTGGCACCTGGAATTTCAAAGTTGGCCTTCGAGATGCGTTGTGAAGGAGACCAAAAATCCAAGAAAATACTAGCTGTTTCAGCTTTCCTCTAGTTAGAGAGGATATTGGCCCTCGTTCTGCGCTGTTTTCTGTAAAAGATTTTTGCAAGTATACTCTTGGAGGGGACAGGATGGGACATAGTAGTTCCCTCCTGCCTTTTAAAAGTCATGGCTCTGTGTTTCTGGGGCAGTGGGTCTTCTGACGCCCTAAGCGGTGGGCTCGAGGAATGGAAATACGTGTTGACTCTCTCCGGTCTCTGCTGGCGCAGGGGAAGCCTTAGGACTGAAGCAATTTGGTGCAACCCACCAGAAATCCCTCTTTGATTGTAACAACAGAGCAGTTAACCCATAATTTAAACCTTTGAGGTGTGGTTCCCAGTCGTGGCTTAGATGCCTGTGACAAGTGGCTTATACTTGTTGGGGATTTGTAAGCAGGTAGTCAAAGTACCTGAAAGCTCAAGAGAGCGTCGCAAGAAGAAATATTGGGTTTCTTTCCATTTTTAAGAGATGACACAGTCCATTTGTTTTCCCTCGCACATGCATTTGGGCAAGACAAGGTGAATGAGCAATGGTATCAGTCGGCTTCAGTACTAGCTTGCAGGAGGGGTGTTGGAAAACGTATTTGACTTTTTTTTTTCTTTGCTTTTTTTTTTTTTAAATGTGGTTTTAGGTTTGCAATGGTCATGAACAAAAGATGCCTGACAGTCTGTGCAGATCTGATGTTTGAATTGTTCAGTGAAGATGGGGTTTGTAGAAGGCTGTTGTATTGTCAAGACCCACTCTCTGTCTTTGATGCTAATATTTTACTGTAGTTCTCTATAGCGTTACTTGTATCTTCCCTCATATCTTTAGTGGGTAAGGACACTTCGCACAAAATAGTGTTCTTTGTTTCACAGGCTTGATTTATCCGCAGAGTAAGCACAGGAGGGTCCTGTGAGGAAGATTATATATTGAATTTTCATAGAGTGCTTCCAGAAGGAGTTCGGGTTAAAGTCACAGACAGCTTTTGGTGAAGCATTTATAAAGGGTTTCTAAGAAGTTAATTTTCCTTGGATGTACTCTTCTAACATAATTTCCAAATAGGACTCAGAAGTCTGAAAAACAAATAAAACATACGAACCATATCTTTCCTTCCGCAGCTTCATGATATCATTATTGCTTGGTGTGCTAGTGCCGTGGGGGAGCAGAGCATCCTTATTTCTGGAGAATTTTTGTAGAATTTAGCTTTTAAAGGCTTTAGAGACAGCAGCGCGCCTCTGCAGAGGTGACTAGGAAGTTCTTATTGTCTCAGGAAATCCAGGTGGACTTTTACTGCAGAGCAAAAAGCTAATCTTGACTAAAGAGCAAGGTCTCCTCTTCTAGATTTAAGCCCCAGCTCTAAAGCATGAAATAATTACTAGAGTTTCTCAACAAAATGCTTAAGATTATTATTATGACATAAGCAAACAAATTTTTCATTGACGTCATTCACTCAAAGTGCTGCACCATTTTCAGCTGAAACTAAAAATTCCTGGCAGCAAAATGAAATGGCAAATTCAGACCAATCAGTCTTGCATGGTAAGCAGGGCTAAAACTCATCTCTTCTTTCATGCTTTCAGTTGCTAAAAACATTTTTTTTAAAAATCCCACTGTCACACAGTAACTTCAGCAAACGCTTACAGCGCTGGGGAGTTTCCCATTTCTGTGTGTAGGGACCTGGCTTTGCTAGCTGCAGTCGGTTGGTTGTAGCTCAGCTCTGCAAGGCCCTTCTCTGTCATGGTAGACATGCAGTGCTAGCTGAGTCTAGTCTTGAGCAGTGATGTGTCCAAATGGGAATGCCTTGTTAGCCTAGACCTGGCACGCTTATTTTTCGGGTCTTCTCAATATTTATGATATTACAGATGATATTAAAATAAAGTTGAAGCGTTGTGTTTTAAGTATGGTAAGAAATAGAACTGCTTTTGGATGACTGAAAGATGACCACTGCACTTCATGGGCTAACTGTGGAAGTGAACGTGGTCCTTGCCAAGAGGAGAGTATATGCTGTGGAGTGGACTCGCTGTTGCTTTATGGATACAGTTAGAAAAGGAGCTGCATTGTTTTTCAAGCAAGTGTCCAAAAAGAAACAACCACGAAGAAAAGCTGGCTATCTAAATCCTGAAGGCGTGTGTCTGCTCGTGGCCGAGTTGGCTTAGCTCATAGCCTTGAGGCTGCCTGCTGAAGTAAATTTTACTTCATTTGTCAGAAAACTCTCTTTGGGTCCCCTGGGTGTTCTGGTTTATTTCCACAACAAAGGAAATACAGAGTGAGTGACCAAGGCGTGTGTTCTCCTACGTTGACCTCTGAGAGTAGTATTTTACTGTTGGAAGACCCTGCTTGGCCACACGTGAAGAAATGAAGAATGATGAGAGCTAGAGATCGTAATGATTCCAAATGTCTGCAGGAAATACTCAATTGCACTTCTATCACAAATATGAATAGGTAATTCCTAGGAAGTCTTGGTCGACTTCTGGGGTTCCTTAAGGTTTCAGCAGTTAATGTTTATATTGGTTAAATCTTTGACCTTCAGTGGTACCTCCACTGTAAATTTTAGAAATCTGAAGTAGGGAATTTAATATTGCAGCATGGTGATGGTGTGGTCAGTACTGTACAACAGTCAAAAAAACAACAAAGTCCATGCTCCAGGGGATTTGTGCTCTAAAAATACAAATTATACAGTTCACGTACGTAATGGATGATCAGAAGATGAATTTGCTGCTAAGCAGCGTAGTTAAAATACTGATGCCTTTAATAGCATTTTTCATCTAGTGTTTAAAAAATAGTGGGCTGGATATGAAGCACTCTACTTCTGTATTCTGTCAGTGGCTTAAAAGGTAGTTTGTAAAGCACTTACCTCAGATAAGGTTTGAGGAATATCTTTTCTGATAATTAAACCAGTCATTGCACTTCTTATTCATTGGATTATTTTTTCTTTCTGGAGTTCTTTGGAATCATGCTGTGTTAGTGTTTCTTATAATCCTGGTTCTGTACCTGTAACACGGAAAATGAAAATGCCTTTTACGTGGCATAAATAATTTTACATTTTATTTTTGGTGTGTACGCATACTGCTTGAAAAAAATGGATGCTTGCAGTCTTAATGCTTTCACTCTTGTCATTCACATTTTAATACAGGCCTGTTAGGTACCTGAGGAGTTTTACACAGAAGACAGCAGTGAACAGTCTGGTCTAAACCAAAGCAGATAACACACCAGTAGCAAATAAGGGAGCCTTGAGTCTGTGATTTTTGAGTTCCCTCGGTCAGCTTGCTCTCCTGGCAGCCCATGTGAGACGCGGTTGTAGGATATAATGAAGTTAATACTGATGTTCCAGGTCACCAGCAGCCTATTTCAATAGCTGTTTTTAGTATAGAGCCTTTTTTAATAATGTTTACTTGATGATTTTCAAGAACAGCTGAGAATTTTTGCAGTAGGCATAACCGGTCTGGTGCTGTCAAATTGAAAAGGGTACATGAAGATATTTGGCTCCGAGACATTTTATTACTCTTCTGGCTATAAAACTGAATTAGTAAGAAGAGAGTTCAACCGCCACAGCTTATTGCAGGGATATTTTCTGTTTCATTTTATTGCCCTTTGAGGATTTGATTTCTTGTTATGATAATACAGTTAATTAGTTGTGATGTCTCTCTAACACCAAGCCACAGTCACTGTTTTGCTTTTATGAGTGTTAAACTGGTGCAGCGTAGCAGTGGAGGAAAAAAAACCAGAAAGGATGCATATGCCCTTTATTTAAGTTGTATGCACCTGTATTTGACAGACATTGACATTAAGTAAGCTTTGAGATGACTGATAATCATGTTTGCATGCTTGTAAAAACTTAATCCTCTTGAGCCAAGAGTTGAATGTTATGCCTGGAGGTTTGTCACTGATGGGTTTGCTTTGTTTCACCATGGCACATTTCATCGTATAGGTTTGCTAAGGGATGTTGAGGCTGGATTGTGTCCCTGTGCCTGCATCAGGGTTTGGGCACAGAGCAACACAGATCTCATGTTTCAGCAAAGGCAGCTGTTCATCTTTGATCCCAGAGATCCCGACCAGGAAAACTTAAAGTGGTTTTAATAAATGAACAAGTGCCTATACATCAATTTTGCCATGGCAACTGTTCGTAGCCCATGATGAATATGACAGTTTAAAGCAGCTAAACTGAGTGAAAGAAAAGGATATGCTACCTTGTATTAAGTTGGGGTAAAGCCTACAGACTGGCAAGTAAAATAAGCTGTTTGAAAGTGATATGGTGAGGAGTCTTAAATCAGATGCAGACCTCCTCTCCCCTCTCCCTGGTTGCCTGTAACAGCCTTCTTCCTTCTGATTAGCCTTTGAGCAGCAGTGTGGGTTTGAGTTAGCATAAACTTCTTGTCATGCTGCACCTGATGCACTGAGATTTAATAATCTAGGTAATTTCAAATTGACTTCTTTGTGTGCTGGTACTTTTAAAAAAATTATCAAGGTATATGCAATTGTTTCAGTGTAGATTAAGAAAAATACCTACTGCTTCCTTTAGTGCAACACTCCTTCTCAAGCCACTCTTCTCCCTGGTGTTTCTTGCAGGTGTTCCGCAAGGATCTCATTAGTGCCATGAAACTACCAGATTCTCACCATGTCAACCCTGATGAATATTATATCTTTGCGGACACATGGAAACAAGAATGGGAGAAAGGGGTTCAAGTTCCAGCCAGTCCAGAAACTATTCCACAGCCTTCTCTCAGGTAATGGCGATCAGATGCAGATGACATGCACGGAATGTCAACTTAGAGAGAAGATGGTCTCTGAAAAATAGGTTGTCTAAATGCAGTGAGCTTTTCTGTGTTATTATATGTAAATCTCCAATGCAGCAGCCTTCAGGCATGTTCTTAAACCAAACAAGTACCAATTTGGAAAACATTTCTGTGGCACTTCAGTCCAGATTTTGTTCTGTCTGTACACTGTTACACTATCGACATTGTGAGTTTAAAAAGGGGGTCTTTTTTTCCTGAGTCACACGGTGCTATGGATTAAAAACTGTTTTTTCATTTGAGTATGGTGAGTTTAATAAATTAAAACTAAACTCAAATCTCATACATGTTACTTGAAGGGCTTCCCTATAAAGCATGGTGATACAGAGCAGTAGGCACACAGTAGTTACTGATACCTGATAAAGTTACTCACTTGTTCATATAATTTAATTTTGGTTATTGTTGCCAAAGCTTTAACCCTTTCTGCCTTCTCTTGCCACCAAGAGCTGCTTAACATTATAGAAGTTCAGTGATCTCAGTTTCAGGAGATATATAAATAGCCTTTTGTTCTCTCACACTGTGCTTAGACTAGGAGAACATAACACTGTAGTCTTGCAACCCTTCCTGGTGGAAACGGAGTGTGTTTCAACATAGAAATGTTATTGCCAGCATGGTCTTCGAGACGAAGATAAATGAATTGTCCAGTGAAAGCGCTGATGCCAGCATAATTTAATTTCCACTGGGGATATTGTCAGTACCAAGTTATTAAAAATAAATATATTGCATCTCATACCAGCAGTATTATATTAGAGGAAAAAATTGCTATAGATTTGGCTGGACCAGAGAAAAGAAAAGCTCACAAGGGAGCGAGAGGAAAAAATGAGCAAGGTGAACAGGGAGGAAGAATGGCAGAAGAACATTGTTTGTGCTAACGTTGACAACCCACATTGTCCAGTAAGAATCATGTGGGATACTGCTTGACTGCTGCCTGCTCCTTCTTTATTCCTCTTGCCTTATTTCCCACAGCTTTTCTTTTCTCCTTATCCTGTGGAGGGTTAGCTCCAGAAAACATGCAGAGCTGCTCACACATGGCACTGTTCCATTCAGTCTCTCCCTGGCTTCCTTTCACATGCAGGGCCTCTTGCATTGAATTCAGAGAAAGATTGACTTTATCTAGCTAAGGTCAGTCTTTCCATTCCCATAGGCTAGTTGACTAATGAAACGCTGAGTTTTATCTCTTAAAATAATTGAAAGATTGAAAACACTAATATTTTTCTCCCTTGCGTCCTGAATGATTTTTAGCTGTTTTTTCCCGTTTACATTTTTGCTTGGCATCTAAATGGTTCTTACATAACAAAAATAATACATTTGTAACATGGATGAAGTGTCATTTACAAAATAAGGATAGACTGTTTATCCCAAATGAAGAGCAAGCATTTCTCCCACCCCACCGCCCCAGTAGAACAAATTAAGCTTTTGTGAAAAAGCTGGTATTTTCAAGAAGTCAGTTGGAAAGATGCCCTTTTATTATTTAAGAAGAATATAGTACAAAGATTGTTGGGGGGTTTGTGCATAATACTTTCTGTGGGTTTCAAAAACACTTGCATCATCGCACTAGTAGCATTCGTTAAATTGAAAATCGTATGCACAGTCTTACATTTTAAAAAGGATTCTGTGTACGTAGCAAAGCTTAGCACATTTTGTGTGAAGAAATGACATTTACAGAATCCTGTCTCCCTAGCCTGGCTACGCTTACCGGCTAGTTTGAAATCTGTGAAACACTAGGTTTCTTTGCACTTATAGCAAATATTTCATGTCTTTCAAGGATGGATCTTAAAAAAACTGTAACTCTCCATTTCTTTTTTTACTTTCGCTCTAGGGTTGTAGCAGAAAAGGTGAAAGAAGTACTGTATACACGACCCAGGAAATACATCCATTGTTCCAGCCAAGAGCCCACAGAACCAGGTTACATCAACATTTTGGAACTGGCAGAATCTGTGTGTCGCTATGACTTGGATGACATGGACATCTTTTGGCTTCAGGAGCTAAATGAAGAGCTTACAGAAATGGGTAATTTTACAAGTTCTAATTTTAAAAACAGCAGCTGATTTCTGCTGTTTGAGTTGTAGTCTGCTGTGTGAGATCTCTTAAAGATAGCTGGATGAGAATTGAATGGAAATGCTAAGAAAAACAGGAGGTAAAAATGCTTAAAATAATGGCTTGCTTGATCTGTTCACGTTTTATGTTTTGCCCATTGTGCCTAAAAACTTCGTCACATCCAAAATCATGTGCAACTTCTGCAGGAGAGGCAGGAGAGAAAAAGCCCACACCAGGTGGAATCAATTTTGGAACTTCAAAAGTTAAAAAATTGTGTGTAGGAAAAGCAGATGTTTCCATTTCTTAAACTTGAACATATTATTGCTACAAATTCAGAGTTCTGAGGAGCTTGCGTGCTGGGTTCTTAACAGACTAATTAAGTTTCACACATGTTAGGCCATTTAACATCAGCTAAGTAAACTTTCTTTTTTCCATGCAAGTTGTGGGTATAGAGAGCTATGAGGGGGGTGTGAGCTATGGAAAATAATCTTGGAATTATCACTGGCGTGACTGAGTTGTGGTGGAATAGCCTGTGTGGCTGGCATTCTTCCATGGATGATTGCAGGTCCTTTAGGAAGGACAGATGGGCAAAAAAGGGAGATATTTGGCATGCCTTGGATTTGCTGTTCACAAACAAGGAAGAACCTGTAGGTATGTGATAATTGATGGCGGCATTGGCTGTAGTAGCTATAAAATAGTGGTGACCGAGATCCTGAGGGGAGTGAGGAAAGGAAGTAGCCTTCTGGTCCTGGACTTCAGGAGAGCAGGTTTCTACTTAGTTGGGTAACTGGTAGGTGGGATCTGGGAGGCAGCTCTGAAGAGTGGAACTGCTGAAGAGCGCTAGCAGGACTTTAAGGACTGCCTCCTCCAAGCACAAGAAAGATCCATGCGTATATTCACGAAAACAAGTAGATGCGTCAGGAGACCGGCTCGGTGAAGGAGGGAACTCATGACTGAGTTCCAGTGCCAGAGGGTGCATGTAAGAGGTAGAAGCAAGGACAAGCTTCCCAGGCATGCAGGGATGCTGTTAGCAAAACCAAAGCTTTTCTGGGGGGCAGATCTCCATCTATGGACATTTTCAAGATCTGACTAGACATATCTCTTGAGCAACAACCTTGTCTGGATTCACTGTTGACTCTGCTTGGAGCCAGGGATTAGGCTGGAGCCCTCTGAAGGTACCTTCCCACCTTGAATGATTCTGTAATTCTTTTAATTCAGGGAGTGAGAAGATACCCAGGTATTGGAGAGAGTAGTTTAATGGCAGAAGACACCTTGTATCGGGAGTCATTTATCTTTTCCATCTCCCTGTTTATCAGTTGCAACAAGGAATCCAAATTAGTAGCCACATTCTTGTGCATAGTCCAGCAGTTAAAATGTTAGCCTCTGATATTGTTACATGAATATCCCAACCTTTGAAGGTCTGAGTAAATAGTGAACTATGGGCAACAGCATCATTTTTGACTGAGGATTTTGAGAGGATGCAGTTCGGAGATTTCTGGTAGCTGTGAACATCGTAGGGTTTCTTAATGCAGTGTATGTCCTGAAGCTGCAAGCTGAGGACCAGTCTCGTAGCAAATCCTTTTTAAGTGGTTCTGCTTATACTAAGTTTGTCTAGTGGTAAGTGTATATAGCATGTGTAGTTTTCAAGTGAACAGACAGTATGGATTGCCAACAGTATATTTATCTACTATTTTATTTAAAAACAAAAACAAACAAACAAACAAAAAAACAACAAACAAACAAAAGCACTTTCCATATCCATCGTGCTGATCACTCAAGTAGTGTACTGGATGGTACTGGGTGGTGGCAACTTCTGTACCTTTATAAGATCTAAAGTGTTCTTGATAAGTTTTATTTCCTAGGGAGTTAGTCTTCAGAAGAACATTGTGTGTAATTTTGAAAGAATATTCTGTGTGATTTTGGATGTCATTAGTGTTTCTTAAAGTGATGGAGGTGGAGGGAGGATTGTATGGGAGCAGCTAGCAGTTACAGAAACTGCTGTCTGTCTTCTATGCTGTAGTGTTTTCTTCAATGTGCGGTCTTGTGTTTTATGTACAACTTTAAACTTTTACTCCAGTAGTAGTTCTGCTTGTATTTATAATTAGCCAGTGAGTGAAAAAGGTTTTCTATTTTTCTTTTCCTTTTTATTTTTAGTACGCGTGATGGGAGAGAAGATGCTGTGTCTAACTGCTTTAGTTGCTAGAAGTTGTCCTTCTCTCTTCCTGCATCTCAGACTCGGTGAGAGGCACCTGACTGTCCTCTAATTCCCCTTCCCTGTTCTTCGTTGCAGGATGTGGGCCCCTGGATGAAAACACAATGGAAAAGACAATTGAAGTGCTGGAACGACACTGTCATGAGAACATGAATCACGCTATTGAGACTGAAGAAGGACTGGGTATTGAATATGATGAAGACGTCATCTGTGATGTGTGCCGGTCCCCTGACAGTGAAGATGGGAATGACATGGTGTTTTGTGACAAGTGTAATATCTGTGTCCATCAGGTTAGTACCTGCAGAAATGTTGACGCTGTCCTGTGGTCTTAGTTTACCTTGGCAAGTGTGGAATTTGAACTAGTATTAAATGTTAATTGGAGGGCTTTGTGATTTTCTAGGTATGAAGGGCAGTACAATACGAAGTTGAATTTTTGTACCCTGACAGTTACAGTAGATTAAGTGGCCTAGCATGGTAAATATGTGGACATCTACAGTCTAATAGGAACATAAGTGTGTTCTTGGGACTTGCAAGTACTTCCTCTGTGACTGTAAACAATTTTTCTCCTATTATTAAACCTGCTTTTGAAGATAAACAGGGCTGGAAATGCTGACTTGCTTTATATGTGAAGAATCTAAAGATCATTTGTTTCAGAACTGGGGTTTTTCCTCCTTGACTGACTAGTTAATTGACCAGACATGGGCTGTCCAAATATAGCCATCTGAAACCACATGTAGGCACTTTAACAGACTGATCTTTTTTAGAAGGCATAAGCACCTGCAATAACCGTGCTCTCAGTCTGAATGTCGCTCACGTTGATAGTGTTTCAGATATAGCCAAGACTTTACACTGACTGAGCTCAGCATAGTCAGGCAGAGGTATCCTTATAATCAAGAAAGGGATATGAATCCTGTGGTTTCTGTGTGTCCTGTTCTGGAAGGGGTTGCAAGTAATACTCGGAAAACGTATCTGGCTGAAAAAAGGACCTGTCATCTCCCGGCTCGCAGTGGGCTGGCTTCCAGCCCGGCCGCTTTCCTGATCTGATTCATTGTGTGAAGCAGCCACGTGAGCCTGAGTGCCAGTAACGCGGCCAGTGACAGGAATACGGCCAGCAGCTGGGCCGCCTGCTTCAGCCCCTGCCTGTGCCTGTTCTAAAGTAATGATGAATTTGCAGTCAGAGCCTTGTGGTTGCTGAGCTTGAGCTGATGGCCTGCTGCCTCCTTCCTCCTGACCCTTCCCCATGCCGGAGCTGCCTGAAACAAACTGGGGAGCGTGTCTGGGCTAGAGCTAATCCTAACAAAAACAAGTCATTCTGTTTTTAATCTGGATCGGCCCTGGTTCACCACATAGCTTCAGGTCTGTTTGTCATCACACAGTGTGGAGGTGGTGGGTAGGAGGAGTGTGAGAGATTTCCTCCTTCATGGTGCCCTCTCGTGCCAGCTCAAACACATTGTGAAATTACTGGTTTAGTAGTCTAGGCCTCCTCCATTCATTAGTTGGATTAAATTAGAAAATAGTTTCAGTCCCTTTCCAATCACGTAAATGTGATCTTAGGTGTAATGCATCTTCTACATTAGTAATAGAAAGAATGCTGGTGGGCATGTGCCACATAAGAGGAAAAAAAAAACACTTGTAAAATTTAGATTACAGCTCCCCCTTTTGGGTTTTTACAACAGTCAGCACATCAAAATAGCATTTAGGTCAGTCAGTCTCAGCATTTCTATAATGCAGGATTTAATTCAGAAAAGTCCCCATCTCTACAGGCCTGACATAAATGTGCAATATTTTATAGTATCACTTCATATTAAATACTGAGATGTTATAATCAGAACGCTGGGAAGGCCAGTGTGGGAATTTTATATTAGATCTGAATCTGAAAGACTGGTCACAGCTAATGATCCTGTTCTGTTGAGGCTTTCAATGTTACTGTGCCTAGAGATGGTGTTAGGAATGGTGGGATTTCCTCTGAAAGCTACCCTTTTGATACAGCTTTTATTTGGAGCAGCTGAGTGGAATTAGACCTTGGTGGCAGCCAATGGTTTCAGATACACTCAGCTTTAATGTGCGTGTATGTATGTACAGCGGGATATATCTAGATCCACATGTAGTTAGCCATTAAGAACTGCTAGGAATTTGAATCAGAAAGCAGACTAATTTTTTTCTTTTTCCTTTTTGTTTTTAATTCTCAAATCTAGCAAAACTTAAGAAATTTCTCATTTTCTGAGGGGTTAAGTGCGATACACAGGAAATAGGCCTAAAACCCAGCACCTCATAATTTCAGTATAAGCCGTAATTTTTGTTGCAATATCATATAAATATTCAAAGTAACAAACAATGCACAGAACTGTAACCACAAAGGTAGTTTAATGTTGCAGGAAACGGTCTTCAGTCAAACAGCTCATATCCCTTCACGTCTAAACAGAATTATGTTAGAGTGTAAAGTTATTAGTGGTAGGAAGTTGTGATTTTAAAAAGGATTAGATGCAGAAGCTAATTTAAAGAAACGTCTACGTTTCAAAAAATGCTTCAGAAATTTAAAAGTCACTAGAAACAGACGAATGTTCACAACACCAGTGGTGCTGTGCAGTCACAATGGGTATGTTTTACACTATAAACAAACTGGCATAAAAAGACTTTGCTTTAGAGGCTGTTTATCTCTTTGATCACTTGACTCGTTTTAAGGTAAAGAAATTAGAGAAGGATTAAATAAAGGCCAAACTGTGCCTTTAGTATTTGAAACCTTTGGTCCATATGAATATTAATGCTTGTGTGTGAAATCATATCGGCACAATGATCTCAATACCTGTTTTCCTCCAAGGCATGCTATGGTATCTTGAAAGTACCTGAAGGGAGTTGGCTGTGTCGCACCTGCGTACTGGGAATACATCCTCAGTGCCTCCTGTGTCCCAAAAGAGGAGGTGCCATGAAAGCTACCAGGACAGGGACCAAGTGGGCACATGTGAGCTGTGCTCTCTGGATTCCAGAGGTAAAACTTAATTTCTGCCTCTTTCTTTGGTATCACAGACTCCTCCTTGTCATCCTCCTTCTAGTTCCCTCCTCTGCCTCTTTATGTTCTCATGATTTAAGGTATCTGTCTGGCTTAATAGCAGACTTTATTCTGATGAGTCTGCACAGCCTGTGAGGACTGGGAGAGAGTCCAGCTTATGTTCCATTAATTAATCACTTTGTCCCCTCCATTTACTGAGCAGTCACTTCTTGATGTCATTATGGTATCTGAGTGACCTGCTAGAAAGGGTTACTGATGTAAGCTAGTGTTCACTGTACAACTGCAGCTTCATTGTCTCTCTTATTTTCTGATGAATTTGTCTGCTTGCTTAAGTGTATAATTCGCATGCATACATCCACTTTGCATTACTCCATTGCATTATTTGCGTAGGATGGACTCTAAGATTTGTAGTTAAGGGGTTTTTTTGAACTAAAATTTTTCTGAATGGTGGGGAGATGAGGCTTTTTATCTTTTATGTTCTACGTTTTTTATGTTATATTTTTATAAGCTTTTTTGATATATCTGTGCATACATATATGGACAGAGTTTAGTAATGAAGCTTTACACTTCTTCCTCTATTTTGAATCAAGTTTAGCATCACATTATGATTCTGTAAATCGGAATGTTCACTTGTGTATAGGTGAGGTTTGTGTTTAATTTTGTACTTAGAATATTTCTGTTCTCTTTCTGGTGAGATCTACAGATCCATTACGGTGCGTGGTTTAATGCGAGGCAGTAGCTAGATCTGTCGGCACCACAACATCAGGGGGATGGATGCCTTATTTTCTGAATCTTCTGCTTCCAAGTGTAGCCAGGCCTCAAGTTCGCAAAACTCTGAGGAAGACGTTAAGATTCTGGGTATTTTTTTAACATAGCAGCCAGATGTAATGTGTAATTCCTAGCTCTGTCTCAGGCATATATCTACTTTTCAAGGAGGTTATCTTTGCAGTTGCACTTTCCTTTCAGGTCTGCTTGTAGTTCCTGGCATCTCTTCTACCTTTAAGGAGAGAGGAGTTGAGAAAAAAAACCAAAACATTTATTTTAAAATAAATTTAAAAAAAAAAAAAATCTTCTGACTTTTCGTCCTGTACTTATGAAGTGTCTCGGCTGGAAGCTCTCCTGGCTCTGAGCAGACTGGTTTTCCTAAGAGATCCTTTCTGCATGTGGTTGCCTTGATGCTCTCGCCAGCAGAAGAGGAACAAGCAGGTTTGGGAAGCAGGTGACGGCAGGGCAGGGAGCACATGCTGCCTTCCTGCCTGCCCACCTCCCTCCAGCTGCAGGAGAGAAGCTGCCGGGGAAGCACCCAGGTGGAGAGCTCCAACCCGGCTGCTCCCGCAGCCCATTCGGTGGCTCCAGGCCTCTCCAGGCGTCAGGCACCTCCTCCCCTCCACACCAATGCCAAGCGAGTCAGACACAGCGAGGAGGTGACACCTGCCAGTAGGGGCGGCAAATGCCTCTTGGAACCATTCTGTCTCAGTCTCCTGCACTGTCACTTGTGAAACAATTCAGTCACCAGGGAAGCCAGAGAAACCTTTGGGAATCTCTGCTAAAATGGCAGGTCAGTTCCTGTCTGGAGAGTCACTGCGGCCTTATGTGCTGTGGGGGACAAGAAAGACCCAGAGTTTGAAGACCTGGGGATGGATACTTTAGGGGAGAATGTGTATTCTCATATACTATTTTTCTTCTCCCCAAGATAGTAGCACACTGGAACTCCCCAAAAAGAAACAGATGAATTATAAAGTCACTGCCGTTTCCTCTTGTGGCCCTAATAAAATGGAGCAAGGCAGAATGCAGAGAGGAATGGGCCATAAACATGTCTGTGCCTTGTGGTAAAAGGCTCAAAGAGGGACTTCATGGGTCACCAAGTATAGGGTAGCATGGTTGCAGGCAATTACATCAGGTATTTTCCTTCATTAACTCATTCAGCACTGTCTTAAAATGTTTTTTCTTCCCTCCCTTCCTTGTGAGCTAATGCTGTCAAAAGGCTTTCATGACCCTCACTTGACTGATTGGGACGTTTGAAGGCTTTTACTTTCCAAAGTGTACTCATTGTTGGTTTATATCCTTTTATTCTTCTGCCTTTATTGTCTTTTAGTGTAAATGTGTAGCCTATTTCATGTTTCCTTAAAAGACATTCTTTTAAAATAATAATAAAAAAAAAAGAAACACTGAGACCAGAAAGCTTATGCTGTTTTGAAATTCAAGGTCCTTCTCTGCCTTAGATGACCCATTACAGTTACGTAATGTAACTCAATCAATGTGGTGTTAGCTGAAGCAGAAAGTTATTTTTCCTTGCCACAACTGGAAGGGTATCAAATTGACTCTCCTTAGCTGCTGTTGTGAGTGGCCGTGCTCCAGCCACTGGGCTGCCCTTCTCAGCCAGCGATGCAGGTCATTGTGCACTTGTGCAGCTGCTGGTGGCAGGGGAGCAGAGGACAGCAGGGTGAAGATGAGATGGCAGCTCATATGCATAACAGTTGCAGAGAAGAGGCTTCAGCAGCCCATTGTCTTCACTCTCTCCCACTCCTAAAACTTCTTCAGAGTACAGCAGTCAAAATGTAAGCTGGTACAAGGTGAAGAAATAACAGAGAAAACAGCTACGTGTTATGGCAGATGGATCATTTCTGCCTTGGGATGGGAGGTTTTGGGGAATGAAAAGGTTGGCTTCTCTGCTCTCTGGATCCCTCGTGAGCAGCGAAGTTAAAACAGACTTTGCCTTGACTCCTCTTTTTGAATATCAGAAACATGCAGGCGGCATGAGGCCAGTATAAATAAATTGCACCTGACTCTGTGAGTGCCTCTTTGTGCTTTTACAAAGTGGGGTAATATAAACAGGCAGCGTTACAAGCTGAACGGACAATATTTCCAACATAAATGTTTCCTGACCTTATGAGTCCCCTCTGGGGAAGGAGCAGGGAGAGCATTAAAAGGGGGAGAGAGGGACAGAGAGAAGGTGTGTGTCACTTCCCAGCTCCTGCTGGGAAGCATGATGGAAAGCTGGTATTACTCAGTTTCCAGAAAAATTCACTGAAGATTCTGGTTTCTTTTTGAAAGGAATATAAACAACCTGACATGGCGATATAATCCCTTAATTCCCAAAGAAAGTCTTGCCTCTTAGTGTAGTGGTAACTGGGATGAGAATTACAGTCGATCTTTGTACAGTATTGTTTAAGAAATACCTGTGCAACTTGTAACCATCTCTGCTTTGAGCAAGGTCAAGTTGGGCTGATGAAAGGCTCTTTCATTTTGGAAGCAAAAAATCTAATATTTGATGATGTGTAGGAGTGCTGGACATGATTTTCTGGAACCATTCAAGCAGTTCAGGGACAGCTTTGTCACTTCCCCACCAATTTATAGGAAGGCCACAACAGATGAAATTGGTTGTCAACTCTACCTGATGAGGGCATCACATATTGCCTGCCTATTCTCCTTCTCATCTGGTAAAACCTGGACCCTCTCTGAAGCATCTCGCTATCTTTCTAATGAAGACTTCTGGAAATGCCATGCAGCAGGTTGACCTCAATATATTCCAGAAGATGTGGCTTGCAGTTGGGGGACCAGAGGGTGAAGTACTATAACAAATATAAATCTTACTAGAATCAATTTATGTTATTAATTCATTAAATGCAATAAACTTTTTTAAATGTGGAAATGATGAACCAAGTAATCTCTTGAGAAAGTGTCTTTTCCACCTATTTAAGTGATTCTTAGAGCAATGCAACGATAAGGAGAGAGTAGCAAAAATACTCAGTTTGAGCATAGCAACTATGACTCTTGGACTTGATCAACTTAGCGGTGCTCTCTTTGGATAAGTCTTCCTCACAGAGGAGTTCTGCTGAAGCACAGCCTTTCCGCCTCAGGGATTAATCAGGTTTTAAAATGAATACGTCTATCAAGTGATTGTTGATGTTGTTGATGTACCCTAAAAGGGAAGCTAGGAAATTCAGCTTAGGCTACTGGCTCTTGTAAAATCAATGGCTTAATTATCACATGTTAAACTAATTAAGCAACAGGCTGGCTAACTTGGTGAGGTGGGCTTTAAACTGAAGGACTCAAGGGGTGGGGTCCAGAACAGAAAATCTCCACCTGGCTAGAGAGCAGCTCCGTGGAAAGGGACCTGGGGGTCCTGGTGGACGGGAAACTCAACATGAGTGAGCAGTGTGCTGCTGCGGCCAAGAAGGTCGATAGGATGCTGGATTGCATCAAAAAGGGCATCGCCAGCAGAGATAAAGAAGTCATTATCCCTCTCTACTTGGCACTTGTGAGGCCACACCTGGAACACAGTGTACATTTCTGGTCCCCGCTGTACAAAAAAGATGTGGACAGGCTGGAGGGGGTCCAGAGAAGGGCCACCAAGATGATCAAGGGTCTGGGAAAGGCTTAGAGGTGATCTCATCACCATGTACCAGTACTTAAAGGGGAGCTACAAAGAAGACGGAGACTCCCTTTTTACAAGGAGTCACATGGTGAGGACAAGGGGTAACGGGTACAAGTTACTCCCAGGGAGATTCCGATTGGACACGAGAGGAAAATTTTTCACAATGAGAACAGTCAATCATTGGAATAATCTCCCCAGGGAAGTGGCTGACTCCGCTACGCTGTACACGTTTTAAGACTCAGCTGGACATGGTGCTGTGCCATCTCGTCTAGATTGTGCTAGAAAGGTTGGACCAGATGATCCTTGAGGTCCCTTCCAACCTGGTATTCTATGATAATTCGTATAACCTGGATTTCCCTAGGAGAGTCCTACTATGGAGGTAATCTATGAAAACTACTATAGCGTAATACTCCTAAAAGTTTTCTAGAAAAAAAAAAATGGCTGTCAAATTTCAGCCTTAACTGATTTATTAAGGAATCAGCTTTATTCTGGCCTCACAGTGCCACAGAGCGTGACCTAGGAACCTCCTTTCTTTGAGTTCTTAGATCTGACCCCTTTGAGAAGAGGCCCCTATCCCACCACTGGAAATACAGCTCTGTTCTGTTCAGGTGAATTGTTCGTAGAAAGCGTGGAGATGTTCCTAGCTAGAATCAGCGTTGTATTTCTGCTTCAGGCAGGTAGCCCTCCAAAGCACACAACTGCTAAATTCAAAAAGTGTTGTGTAAGCATCAAAATCCAAGCTTTTGGAGACTGGCATTCTTGGGACAGAACAGTTATCCCACTGAAATCTTCTGCCATGTGCCATTCTCCTACTGGCCCAGTTCTGCATGTTGGTCATTCAGAGCTGGCCAACTTTTTGTTTCTGCCCTTGGATAAATCCTGCCTGTCAGGAGTGGCTCAGGGCTGCCTACCTGTATGTCTGTTTTGATTTCCAAATTATGGAGGATAGTTCTTATTTCCCAGTATGGACAACAAGCAGCTGAGAAATTTCTATCGTAATGGATATGTGGACATTAGTATAACAAAGAATAGGAAAAAGTATCCTGTGCTTATCTGAATTTTTTCTTTCTTTTAGTATTAATATCCGTAATCTGGTTTACCAGAGACAAATGGATCATCCAGACTAAGTATGTGAAAACGGGCATAAGAGAATATACTGTGCTTTGTAAAGAGAAGTTTGTTGTATTCTTTCTCAAATTATACTCGATACAATCTGTAGTTAGGAAAGCGTACTAGAATCACCTCTTGCATTGGGAGCGCTCAGAGAGGCAGAGCTGGGAAGCGAGGCTTTCCCTGGCTGGTGACTGATAGATCTGGTTCCGTCCCAGATTGTGAGCTAGCAGAAGTAGCTATTGTAGCAGATCTGTGGATCTTAAAGAAGGAACTTCTCAGGTAAGTATGAGTAAGTCTTCCTATTTTGTTCTGAGTAGCTTGTGTTTTGGTCCTTTTTAAGTTAGACCTGTTAAAGCAGCACAGAAAAAAAAAAAAAAAGGCAGAATGGAATAAACTTAAGCATCGCTTACTGCAGTCTTTCAACTGGTTTATAACAAGGCATGCTGTAGATGCCTCAAATGTTTTGAAGAATTGTAACTTCTAGCCACCAGGTCAAACTAGTAGTATTCCACAATATTGTTTTCACGTGGGATCTTTTAGGGTCCCTTGCTAAGAAGTATGACCACATGGAGATCTCACAGCGAGATAAATGTGTGGTCATATTTCTTCTTGTATTAATGGAGAGCTTGTTTTTATTACCTTGATAACTACTTTCCATGCTGTTTTTTTGTTTACAGGTTAGTATTGCTTGCCCAGAAAGGATGGAGCCAATCACAAAGGTGTCTCACATTCCACCAAGTCGATGGGCTCTAGTGTGTAGTTTATGCAAACTGAAAACTGGTGCTTGCATTCAGGTATGTACTTGTCCTGTGGTAACTCTTCAGTCTATGTGAGAAGGGCAATTTTGGTTTTGCATTTTTTCTTTCTGTGTTCAGAGATGCTTCACAATGCAGATGACTGTTAGATAGATGCCTACTTCTTCATAACTGTTTGCTATCAAATTAGTTCGCTAGCACAGAGATTTAGGAGTTAGTCTGAGTTGCCTTCTTTTGAATAAGGCTGAGATGTGTAAGCACTGCTACGATGTGGGTCAGAGATGGATAGAAAGGTCCTTCTGTTGAACACTGGTCACAAACAAGAAAATACTAAATCGGGTGATACCAACTTGAAAGAGATCAACAGGTATTTTTAAGAGTGCTTAGGAAATATGTTTTTGTAGGGATGGGCTTTCATGTAATTAAGATAATTCTGTCCTTTTTTTCTGGTTTGTTGCTACTGTTAGTGATTGAAGTTTTTTGTTTTCTTTTGTCTGTAGTGCTCTGTGAAAAGCTGTATCACTGCCTTTCATGTCACCTGTGCCTTTGAGCATAGCTTAGAGATGAAGACTATCCTGGATGATGGGGATGAAGTCAAGTTCAAGTCGTATTGTCTAAAGCACAGCAAGAACAAACAGAATTCGCTGCCTGATGTTGATGAGCACCCCAAGAGCGTGTCAGACCAGAAGCAAACAGAGAGCGAGAAAACCAGTTTGCGAGCCCAGAAACTCCGAGAGCTGGAAGAAGAGTTTTACTCACTAGTTAAAGTGGAGGATGTTGCAGCAGAACTGGGCCTTCCTAAACTTGCTGTAGACTTCATCTACAATTACTGGAAATTAAAGCGAAAAAGTAACTTTAACAAACCATTGTTTCCTCCCAAGGAGGATGAAGAAAATGGCTTGGTGCAGCCAAAAGAAGATAGCATTCATACTCGCATGAGGATGTTCATGCATTTGAGGCAGGACCTAGAGAGGGTAAGAGTTTAACTGGTAAAAGTGGGAATGGGGGGAAAAAAGTAAGGCCTTTTAACTCCAGTCTCCTGGTATGCTGCATTGCCTGCTGCAGAGACTTTCAGGAACTGTCCCTTCTCAGTCCAGTGAGAGACCCAATGTGAAAGGAGTGCTTCCTGACCTGCTTAGAGGTTATTCCTTTATGTATTTTAAAATGCATGTTTCTATGCACAATGGGCATATTTGCTAACTGACTCCTTGATTTCAACTGCAATTGTGTAAATGTTTTAAAAAATTGAGTAAATTTATTTGACCCAGCTGTAGTAGTTGCTAGTGATACAGATTCAATAACAAAAAATGTTACTTTTATTAAACGAAAGTAAGTGCAAACAGCAAAGGAACGGGGCAGGCTTAACAAATTCTTATCTTCCACCTTCTGTCTTGGGATGGAGGGACTCTTGATTTGTACTTAAAAAGGTGTTTTGTAAAGGTTATAGGAGAATGGTAAATATTAGCCAGTTTTGGGTTTGGAAAAATGAATTTGCATAGGTAAAGCAGTAACTATTCTTTGGTGAGTGTGCATCAAGCTTTTGGAGAATCCTAACAACGTATTAAAGCAGAGCTTCTCACCCTCATGGTTTGAAGGCAAGTAGGTGAAGTCCTAGATGGTTAACTTCCACGGTGACTTTTTGGCTCTGCACGCACAGAAGAAGAATGCTGGCCTGTACTTGCACCGCTTCCTGTGACAGCTGATTCAGGAGTCTTACTCACCTCTCTTCCTCGCCAGCATGCTGGTGTCAGCTAGTCCCAGGTAGCGGGCAGGCTGAACCGCTCGTCGCTCTCTTGACCTAGATGCTTTCACTGCACGTAGCTGCCTTAGGTGCTATAGTTGGTTAGCGGTCTGAAAATAAGCCACTGAGTCTACCACTGCTTGTGGCTTTACTGAGAAGGAGGAAAAGGAAATTAATCTTTTTATCAGTAGCTAGCTGGGCTCTTATCAGATTGCCAGGTAGCTGGTAGTTTGAAAAGATGGAGTCCTTCAGCAAAATTCAGAGTGGGAATTTATTAGGAAGGTGTATGTAGTGCCTTTTTCCAGCAGCTGGTGTGGGAGGAAGCCAGGCCTGTTACGGCTCAGAGGCTGCCCTTAGGTTGTCCTGTTAGCTAGCGATCACCTGCAGTTTTCAAGTGCTTAGAGATAGGTAGCGAATGTAAAAAAAAGGTAACAAAATATAAAGTAGGTGTGCTAAATGTGATATGGAGACAAGACATTGGAGAAGAGGGGAAGGAAAAACAAAAGAGAGAAAATAGTATTGTAAGAAAAGGGAAAACAATATTGGGGAGAGAAAAGCATGAAAATACGGGAAGATGAGTGTTGGAGCTGAGATTTGCGCTTGTCAGTCTAACTGTTGTCTTGCATGTAGTTAGAATCAAGCTCAGATCTCCTTTTCCAGGAGCACTTTGGATATGGATCCTCATTTAGAAAAAAAAATCCATAACGTGGTGCAAATGGGAGGTTGGGATTTTGGTTGGTTTTTTTCTTTTTTCTTTCAAGAAACCATTTCAAGCTTTTTCTTTTTGCTTGACAAGTGGTTGATTTGCATCAAATTTTATTAAAACTGATGTACTTATTTTGAATGGAGGTGCATAACAACCCCATGCAACGCTACAGGCTTGGAGAAGAGTGGCTGGAGAGCTGCCTGGCGGAAAGGGGCCTGGGGAGTGTTGGTTGACAGCCACCTGAACATGAGCCAGCAGTGTGCTCAGGTGGCCAAGGCGGCCAGTAGCACCCTGGCTTGTATCAGGAATAGTGTGGTCAGCAGGATAGGGAAGCGATCTCCTCCCTCTACAGCACCTCGAATACTGTGTTGAGTTTTGGGCCCCTCACTACAAGAAGGACATTGAAGTGCTGGAGCGTGTCCAGAGAAGGTTAGTGAAGCTGGTGAAGGGTCTAGAGCACAAGTCTTATGAGGAGCGGCTGAGGGAGCTGGGGTTGTTTAGCCTGGAGAAGAGGGGGCAGCGGGGAGACCTTATTGCTCTCTACAACTACCTGAAAGGAGGTTGTAGTGAGGTGGGGGTTGGTCTCTTCTCCTAAGTAACAAGCAATAGGACAAGAGGAAACGGCCTCAAGCTGAGCCAGGGGAGGTTTAGATTGGATATTAGGAAAAATTTCTTCAGCAAAAGGGTTATGAAGCATTGGAACAGGCTGCCCAGGGAAGTGGTTGAATCACCATCCCTGAAGGTATTTAAAAGACGGGTAGATGTGGTGCTTAGGGACATGGTTTAGTGGTGGACTTGACAGTGCTAGGTTCATGGTTGGACTTGATGATCTTAAAGGTCTTTTCCAACCTAAATGATTCTTTGATTCTATACTTCGTACTATGAAACGGCTGTCTCAAAGTTTCTGAACTTCCTGAGATTTTTCTGCTCAGTTATGTCTTGGGATGAAAATAAATTTGGGAATCTTGGAATTTCCTTTCTGGGGAAGGAGGTTCCAGTTCTGAGCAGATGAAGTTGAGTGCTGGGGGAAGTATGTTTGGCAAATATCTTTCAACCAGGCCCTACGCTGTTTCTGTGTTCTGAAAGCTCTTTTAAGGGTTTATCAAGAACTTTCAGTGCCTCTTCCTGTTCTTGTTACATTAGGTGGAAATATTGCTGTTAGCTCAAACAAACAGTGAAAGTAGAATTATGTGGAACTAAATCATAGAACCATAGAATCACAGAATGGTTTGGGTTGGAAGGGACCTTCAAAGATCATCTAGTCCATCTCCCCTGCCATGAGCAGGGACATCTTTCACTAGATCAGGTTGCTCAAAGCTCCGTCCAGCCTGGCCTTGAACACTTCCAGGCATGGGACATCTGCAGACTTCTCTGGGCAACCTGTTCCAGTGTCTCACCACCCTTATCATAAGAAAAAAGTCTTCCTTAGGCCTAATCTAAACCTACCCGCTTCCAGTTTAAAACCATTGCCCCTCGTTCTGTCACTATGGGCCCTGGTCTCTCTCTGTCTTTCTTAAAATCCCATTTCATAAAATGAGAGGCTGCAATAAGGTCTCCCAGGAGCTTTCTCTTCTGTAGGTTGAACAACCCCAGCTCTCTCAGCCTGTCCTCATAGGAGAGGTGTTCCATCCCTCTGATCATTTTTGTGGCGAACAGGTCCATGTCCTTCCTGTGCTGGGGACCCCAGAGCTGGACGCAGCACTCCAGGTGGGGTCTCACCAGAGCAGAGGGGCAGAATCACCTCCCTCCACCTGCTGGCCACGCTGCTTTTGATGCAGCTCAGGATATGGTTGGCCTTCTGGGCTGTGAGCTCATGTTGCCCGCTCATGTCCAGCTTTTCATCCACCAGTACCCCCAAGTCCTTCTCCGCAGGGCTGCTCTTGATCCCTTCATCCCCCAGCCTGTATTGATACTGGGGGTTGCCCTGACCCAGGTGCAGGACCCTGAACTGGGCCTTGTTGAACTTCATGAGTTAATGCAATGGAGTGGGAAAATAAACTGCTAAATGGGTCAGCCAAAATGTGTAGATTGCACAAGAAGCCAGAGTGTTCTTTTAGAGGGGATCTACGTGTTAACTTTGGTCCAAACAGGCTGGCTTTCTTGGGTAGCTTTGTAAAAAGTATTACTTTATAATGTTGCAATAATTTTAGGGGGAAACAAACATGGTTCAGCTGTGAAAAACCATTCTGTGAAACGCTTTGCAGGGAACTTCTGGGAGAATCCAGAACTACCTGCAAGTAACAGGTAACATCCTTGGCATCATACCTAGTGGAAGCAGGCTTACAGACAAGCAAGTCTTAGAAATTACTTACTTCTCCTTTGACTGGAACTCTGTGTTCACTCACTGTTCCTATAGATTAATATATATTTTGCCGTATTACAGAATATATTCAAGGCATTCAATACATTGGCAATTAAAAAAATTCCAGGTTATTTTTTTTAATTCATAGTTACATATGTTCAGTAATATTCACAAGAACTTTGCCAAGGAATTTTGCACATAATGTTGTTGATGCACTTTTTTTGACTATGTCAGGATTTATTTTCTTATTGCCTATTAAGTTTCCTGTTATTCCTCCACAGGTAAGAAATCTCTGCTACATGGTAAGCAGGAGAGAGAAACTGAAGTTGTCTCACAGCAAAGTACATGAACAGGTCTTCAATTTGCAAGTCCAGCTCATTAATCAGGAAATTGCTGCAGGTAATCATATAAATGTAAAATACTTAAAAATTCTGTCTGTATTTAAACTAAAAAACGTGTTCTCTTTATGTTCCTGCTTAGTGTTTTTAACATTGTAAATCTGCCTTTAAAAACTTTCTTCAAGTACACAGTCAGTGAAGGTAGCAACATACACAAAATGCTTTAATCTCTTAAAATATTTACTTGGATATTTCTTTATTTTATGGCCATTTCTGGTATATGCCTATTACTTATCAATCACTATAGCATCCAGATAGCAGAAACGGGCTGGTGGTGATCTCTAGGTTTTCGCCTCCTTGGCTGCTGTTTCAGGGTACTGTTTCCCCGCAGCAAGCTCTGCGCTGCTGCCTGGTTCTCCAGCTGAGGTTTTTTGCTTGCTGTCAGTAGTTGGTTCCTTCAGGCAAAAGAGGAGAGTGACTGATAGGAATCGCTGCTGTTCTCATGTTGCCTTGCATGCTTGATGAACAGCGCAGAGAGGCATTTCTTAGCCGGCCATCTGCAGTTACTCTCCTTCCTTCAAAAAAAGTTTAAGTGCTCTGGGTTTTAATAGTGAGTAGTAACTGCGTAGGAATGCTGATGTACCAAAACCCACTCTGCCCTTCATTTTTATAGCAACCATCTTGAAGTAAGGAACACAACATTTGGCAAGAGGAAGAGTATATATTACAGTGCAATTGCTACTTTTTTTTTTTTTTTAAATAGGGAAGGCAGCTATTTCTTCAATGTGAAATTAAGATCTCTCTGTTCTTTCAAGATATATATTATGGTTTTTTGACCAATTTAGAGTGAAGTTTGTGTGCTCTTTTTCTCTACCTTTGAAACATGGATAGGTTTCATTAGTACTGACACGGTGTTGGTTTTTTGTTGGGTTTTTTTTTTCCCCCCCCCAATGTTGTAGATCAGACTAGTACTTTGTGGAAGCAGCAGTACTCTAAAGCACTTTGGTTTTGTGTAAATGCATTTTATTAGAAATGTCTACTACATTTGTTTTATGTCTTTACAAATACAAGTGCTTTTTTAATGCTTATTAGAATAGCTTGATAGCTGCTTTGCAGTGGTGCTGTATGCGTATAATATCATAAAGACTTGTATATTGGGGTGAAAAGACTTCTAAAGCGTAGAGAATTTTATAATACAAAGCAGAGAGTTGAACTAAGTCCAAATTGAAACTCAGTTTGAAGCATTGTTTTTTCTCCATCCAAAACTGAATATGAACCTTTTTTATTGCTTTGCTGGAACTACTTCAGTCGTATCTCAAAACTGGTTCAATTCACTGGCTTAAAGCCCTGTAAAAAGGGCACATTGTGGGTTTTAATGGAAATGCTAAAACGCTTACCTAAATTCTGAAACGGTGGATAATTTGGATCACTTTTCTTTATCCCAACTTCTCTTTAATGTCCTAAAATTAATTTCACACTAATTGTTTGCAAATGCTTCTTACTGTTGAATGACCTTCTAATGGACTGTAAAACTTGTTACAGATAACAAAACGATTACCCTCTTTTTTTAAAAAGCCTTTTTTTTCTTCTGCCCCCTTGTCTCTTTCTCTTGCAGGCCATACCCTGACAAGTGCACTAGAGAACACACTGTTCTACCCACCTCCCAGAATCACCCTGAAGTTAAAAATGCCCAAATCAGCACTAGGAGATTGCAAAAATAACTCGCTGAAGCCTGGCAACAGACCGCTTTCTCCTGACAACAGCACTGTTTACAGCAAACGGAGCGTGCCGATGTCAAAGGAATCGTTTGAAATTAAAGCAAAATCTTACTCCAGGTATCAGCATGACAGCAGAAGTAACGGGTTGCTGGCAGGGATTGGCAAGCCTCGGAGCGAGGCGAAGGATTCTGGTCCCACGCAGATGCCGGAGTTTCACCGGGGCCAGCCGTCTGGGAAGCCCTTAGCACTTCAGGCTGCTTTGCACGGACAGTCTTCCATTGGGAACGGGCGGGTGCAGCAGGAGAACTCAAGGCTGGCGGCCAAGTCCAACGGTCTGATGGGCAGGGCGGGAGATGTGAGCCAGAGAGACAGCTCCAGCCAGACACCCTACGAACAAGAGTCCATGCTCACGGCTCACTTGGCCAGCCAGAGCGGTTTCAGAAAATCCACCATAGAACATTTTAGCCGGTCCTTTAAAGAGGCTACCAACAGTCTGGTGAGGACCACGGAAGATCTCCGGTGCTGTGAAAAGCCAACAAGAAGACTTGCAACAAAAGATCGCTTGTGGAGCAAGCAGACTCTTGAAGGTGCTCCGTACCAGGACAATGACGGGTACTGTCCTGACTTAGAGCTGAGTGACTCTGAAGCAGAAAGCGATGAAAACAAAGAGCAAGTGAGGTTAAGACGAAGTAGCTCAGAGACAGAAAGCCCAAGTAAGGACTTTGGAAGAGATTGTCACAATAGAAACAAAAAGAATATGATTTCTCACAGTTCGGTACAAAGGTGATTAGAAGCCCCCACGGGGTAATTCAGCCTTTACGTATTCCAGTGTACCAGTGCAAAGCTCAGCATCAAAAGGTTCCAGAAAATAGTCCAGGACCTACGTTAGGAAGAGTTGAAGTAGGGGATGGGGAGAGGGGAGAGAAATCAGAGTAGTTTTGTTCAACTGTGAATTGGCTTGCAGTCTTCGCAAGGTTAACTGCAGTGTTGCAAAGTCATGTGGAAGTTGATGTGTTTTATCAGAGGGTAACATCTGGGAGAGCACGAAGTGGTTAATCTTTGCATAAATTCAGGAAACTGCTTCCCCCTTGCCAGCTTATGTGCAAGGCAACGTGTTCATGTTATGTCAATCTTGTGGTGGTGGGCAGGTATTAAAGAAGTCCTTGCATTGGTCTAACGTGTTGCAAGAGACTGCAAACGGAGACACTGAAACTGCATTCTTATGGCACCTGCAGTATGGCTTTGATCCAGCAACGCACTTGCGGGTGCGTCAGGAAGTTAAGCATGTGAAAAGTCCTGCTGGTTTCCCCTGGGAACGTTTGTGCTCAGATCTCCGAGCGCATGCCGGTGTGCTCTGCTGGATCAGGCCCAAAGTGACTACTAAGTGACGATCCTCTTCTGCAGGAGGCTTTGAACTGCAGTGGCGTTTGCAGGCTTCTTGCAGAGGGTGGAAGCAGGCGTCGCTGGCGCTGCCAAACTCGCTGACCTCTAGATGTGCCCCCGTTCCCTGCTCTTGCTGAAGGTTGTGTTTCTCTTCACAATAATTTGCTTATTTTGTAAATATACAACTTCTAGTACTTCAGTTTTTTTAATCTCTGTACATAGTTGCTTGTTGTGGGATGCACTTGTAAATATTTTACCCAGCTAACAAGTACAGATGGCTAATTTTGTGGATAGTGTTTACAAAAGTAGATGTACTACTTCAAAGAAAAATGCTATTTGACACTTAAATTTAGGCAATCACCGGTGATGCCAGGTTCCTCTTGAAACTGAGATTTCATGTCCAGAGGTGTTTGTACCTGGTATTTTTAAAGTAAGCTGAATTACAAATAATTTTGTCTGAACTTCTCATGCAGGCACAAATTTTCAACCCTAGTTGCCTGAATACAGGCGTAGGAGCCTTGTTTCTGGCATCCAGGTCTGTAAAATTTTAGCCCGTTGTGATTTGGAGTATGTTTTTTTTTAATTGATGAAAATGTATTATTTTATTAAGCTGCTTTTCAACCTCTGGATCAGTTGCTCTTTCCCAAACTAACACTTTTTTTGTATGTCCTTTAAAATTAGCAGTTATTAAGTAGTGAGTAAATTTCAGCCAGTACTGAGGAAGCGAGAAGGGAGGGAGGGGAATCCTTTTCTGTTCATTTCAATGACAGGGGATTTTTGTTTGAATGCAAACAAACTTCTTGTTTTCCAGATGGCATTGAGTTGATCAACAAGGTAACCGCACTGTTTTTCTCTGAAATGCTGTACATTTCATAAATCCACAACACCCTCTGTCCCCGTATCACTGGCTGAAACGGGCAGTAGGTTGTATAGGGCACGTCATGCAGCTCCTTTCTGTTGAGGGTTCATTTTGTCTAGAAACAAAAGGTGTTCCCCACTCAGCGTGAAGATGACTATGCAGAATCCAAACGACCACCTGTTTTTCTTCATAATCTTAATTTATTGCTTTTAGCTTGGGAAATGGCAACGACATTTTTAGATTTGTTTTAAACTCTGAAATCTCCCTAGTTTGCAATAGGACTAGCAGGTCAGGGGCTGGAGGACTTTTCAGTAGTGAAATAAAAAAAGAGTATACGTGGCAATTCTGCTCTGTTTGCTTCATGCATCTTAATTTTTTTTTTTTTTACTTCTTGATTTTATGTATATTTGTGTAATTGATCTTTCTAGAGCTGTATCTTCAAATTTATTTCTTTTGGTGTAAATATGCAGTAGCATTTTAGGTTTCCACATATTTTATTTTAACGGGAGATGCTTCGTGTTCTAAGCCATGGGTCATTCAGAATAAGTAAACAAATGTCTGTTCATTTGTATTCCAGTTCTGATTCTCTTAGTTCTCCTTCGATATTTATTAGTAATCCTCTCTTGCTGGTCATGAAATTTTATGAAGCTTGTATTGGGAACACTTATCTGGGAGGTCAGCAAAGCGTTCATGCTATTTTGTGGCCGGAAGCCTATGACAGAAGGGAGGGAAAACGGTGCTTTAGCAAAACTCAGCATTTCTGCTCTTCTGGGGTTATTAATTCAGTTGTTTCCAGTCTGGGCAATGGTTTTGCTAATTTTTACATGATTTTAATAGATACATGAAGGAGCCCTTGGTTATGTAGTTCTCAAGTATTGTCCCCAAAGTGCATTTGCTAGTTTTTATTGTGTGTTCGGTGGCTAACTGTTTGAAGTATTACCTCTTAACCTTATTTGTCAATTTTTTTTTGTGTTTTTGCATTTTGGTTTATATATATAAATATATATATATTCAATTTTCCAAGATGGACTCGGTCTTTTTCAGATGTCCCCTTTTTACAAGTACTTTTTCATTAAATTATGAAACTGCTAACAGTATTTTCATTTGTTGTGATTTATTCAGGGCTTTACCCTCTGTGTCTAGCAGGTTGTTAAACTCGTCAGTCTAACAGCAGTACTGTGTCCATCAGGAGTAAGTTATTTCTGCAGAGTTGGCAATACTTTAACAAGTTGAAGTGTCAAGGAAAACCTTTCCCCTTCAGCCTCCCCAAAAAGAGTCACTGAACACTGATTTGCTGTGTGTAGCAAATAGCCCCAGCCTGGCTTTTGTTTCTGCCTAGGTGAGCAAATGTAACAGACCATTTGCTGCCCTGGCCTCACTTTTTAATATATGTGCTTATACCTTAGTATGACTGTTTTTTCCCTGGTTGGACAAATTAAGTTACAGACGAAGAGACATAGCCAGGCCTTCTGTCTCGTCCCTCTTCTTGTACGCTCGCACACGCGCACAAATGAATACTTAACAGTCAGCTGTCGCCGTGTGTGCGCGAAGGACAAATCGGTGCAAGCAAGTTCCTGGGTTGATGTTTTATGTTGGTTTTGCGTGAGCCGTTGCTGTAGTTCCCCCTGCTCCCACAGGCCGGTGCTGTGATATACCTTGCTGGCAGAGAGGAGCTGCTCCCGGTGCCAGAGCAGGGGAGAAGGCAAAAAAAGAGGAGGAAGACGGAGAGAAAGGAGCAGGTGTAGCTGCACAACCGATCCCACAGCATCCCTCCTGCTCTGATCCGATAGCATCCCTCCTGCTCCCATCGGCTCGGTAGCTGGCAGCGTTCGAGAGGGGCTGGGGGTTCGTAATCCGTGTGTGGGAGGCAGCAGTGACCCTCCTGCCTGTGGCGGGTCAGGCAGCGGCAGAGCGAGCAGCGAGCTGAGCGGAGCTGAGCGGCCAGCATGCTTGTGGCCTGGCGTACGGGCAGGAGTGGCTGAGCAGGTGGCCCCAGGCAGGCCACAGGAGGTGGGCTGGGTGAAAGGGAGCAACGAGTCCCTCGGCTGGAAAGAAAACAGGAGAAAAAAAAGGAAGAAGGCAATAAAGGTGCATACAGAAGAGAGGAAAAATCAGTACTGGGAAGAAGCAGTAAGTGTTGGCTTGTCAGCCATTTTTCAGGACCAGGATTTCTCCTTCCCTAAAGGCGGTCTTGCAACAGATTCCAGCAACTGTCTTCCTTTTTGCGACTTTCTGGCTGGCGGCCTCCCATTCCCTTTGCAAGTACAGTCTGCTTGTGGCTGGGATGTGGGAAAGACAGGGCTGCGGAAGGAAACTGGAATCCCCGTTATTTTGGCAACAGTTGCTGTTGGTTTGTAGAGTCTTTACAAGTAAGTGTGGTTACTTGTTGATGGTAACCGGGCAGCTCTCACAAGCACTAACAGGGGCTGAGCGGTGATTCCCAGCACCATCATTCCTGCATTTATGCCTTTGTCCAAAGAGAAATGTTTCTCAGCTATAACTTGCCTATGTCATTTGTAGAATGTTTTCCTTGCGCCATGAATCCCAAACCATGGAAGGAGGAATTACAAATGTTTAACCATTAAAAAGCCTGAAACGTTCACTTGATTTTGATGTGGTACCTCACTGATGACTAGGCCTAGGCATGTAGGCTGTACTGCAGACACATGATGTGTATCTGATATCTGGGAGGGACTGAGCGTTACCAAGTGTTCAAAGCCTGCCTCTGTGAGCTGCAAAGATAATCCAGTGAAACCAGTCATTTTGATCGTTGTGAATTTTGATGATCCCAGTACTTGTGAAGGTTTAGCACTGCAGGGAATTGACACATCTATTGGGAAAACATGCTTTTGATGTGAATTAATGAGCAAAAGAAAGCTGCTTGCACAACCTGGGAGCTTGGCATGCAAGGGAAAAGTACGGGGGAAGGGCAGAGATGGAAAACAATGGAGTGCCTCAATGCAGCTTCTTCGGGAAGAAGTAAAGACTCACAGACTTCGGGGTTCTGGTTTCATGAGAGAGGCCCTGCTACTGCTGCTTCTGAATCTTCCTTTACGCCACCTTCGTGGCTGAACAGGCTTTTTCCCCTCCCGCGGTGCAATTCTGTAACGTACCCCTCTTGCAGAGACCATCCTGGGGTAACCGCTCCCGGACCAAGTCAGCACATCCGTCAGCCGCTGGCCTCTTCTGGAGCAATGTGACAGAAGTGGATTAAAGTGACTGCAAGCACAGCTTCCTGAAACAAAATCTTACGTGGCAGTTGGATAGGTTGTTTGAAAATAGCAGATGTGCGTGCCTATTTCTGTTCCTCAAGTTAACCCCTCTGGAGATAGCTTGGATAAGTTTGTGTGACTACCTTGTGTAAGGAGAAGCAGCCTCGGCTATTTGCTCATTAGTTTCCCTGCCTCTGTGAGTACAGCTTCCAGATAATCTTTCTCTTTCTTCAGTAGGCTCCTCTTGGCTGGGACAACCTCCTGGATCCACCTTGCCCTGCCCTTTCTCTGGGATTCTTCTTTTGTTTCAGGCTGGGCAGACCCTCCCTGCCT